AGTGGAATTAAATTCATATTCTTAATTAAAAAAGTACATTTTTACCAATTATGAATATATATTAATTATGTGATAAAATCGTAAAATAATTCAAATACTGTAGAGTTAAATTAGAAAAGAATAAATTTCATGTAAATCATTTCTTAAGAACCTATAGTCCATAAATCCATAATCAATNAAANTATACCATTATTNTCATCGATTCTTTNTCATAGAGATCTATACTCGNCTAGTTTTAAACATTCTTGAATCTTAATAGTAAATATATTATTATCATTTTAACTTTCATTTTATACAATTTCCTTTTTTAAAACAATAAAGTACCAATATTGTTTTAAGTCGAAAATTTTCATTTTTGTAATATTCTATAATTCTGTTGAAAAATATGTTTATAGATTTTTCTGTTCTCTCACATGGTTGTGCATACCTTAAACTTTTAAATTAGGATTCCATGTTCTTTCTAATTTATTTTTTCCAATTTATATATGCTCTTTTGTTTTTTTCATAAGTCTTTTTATTTTATTCTCTATGTACCTTGTTGTGACATATATTTTTTTCTAAATTACTATTTTTCAATTTTTGTTCTCTCCCTACTTTTTTATGATTTATATTCTCTCTATTTCTTTTCTTATTTTTTATAATTAGTTTGGACAACTAAACATTTTGTATTTTTTTTAATTAGTTTGGACTATTAGAAAATTTCTTTTTTTTTCTAATTAGTGTGGACTATAAGATTATTTCTTCTTTTTAATAATTTTGTTAGTTACTTAACATTTATTTTGTTAGTATTCTATTTTTAGTTTTGTTTTAATATAATAAGATTTTAATTGTTACACACACGATCTGGTGAGTTACAATTTTGTGTACGTGTCGCACTCTCACCTTCTATTATATAATAAATATTTTGTTTTATCATTCACATTTTATTTTTCTTTATTGATTTTTTTATTTTCTCTCCGCTTTTTATCTTTACGGTTTATACTCTTTATTCTATTTCTTAATTTAATTTATAATTAGTTTGAACTATTAACTTTCTTTATCTCTTTACTTTTGACAATTAAAATTTTTTCTTTTTTTATTAGTTTGAGTTTGAAATATAAGGAAATTTTACTTTTTACTATTTTATTAGTTACTTAAAAATTATTTTGTCCGTTTTCCTTTTTTACTTTTACCTGTTCTTAATTAGTTTTAAGTATCAAATCAATAGTAGACACATGTCGTGATTTGGTGAGTTATAATTTTGCATACATGTCAAGCTCTCATCATGCGCATCCTCCTTTATATAATAAGATTAAATTATCTAAACCAAACTCGAATTATATAAAATTGAATCGAAATAACCAAACTTACAGTAAATTAGGTTATTTTCCAATGTTCTAAATTCTAATCATATTATTTTAAAAGTTAATAAGCTATTTATTTTTGTCGAAGTAATATTTTTTTTTTTTTTAATTTTAATTGCTAGATTTATTACAATCTTTGAAAACAACTTTGAAAAATGACATAATTATTAGAACAACTCTTTAACAAGGTTGAAACTTAACAAATGTCACAAAAGACATATAAAGCTTAGTAAAAAGTTTTTATTATGAAAATGCCATTCTAATTATTTTTTTTAAAAAAACAGAAATTTGTTTGAAACCGCGGCCGCGGAAGCTGCGGAAGCACCAGAGACGCGCTTGGCGGAGGTGTACCGCCGGATTTAGATAAAATCAGATTGAAAATCACAAGCAAAAAAAAAACTTGAAATATTTTGATTTTTGGTTAGAAAAGAGATATATGTTAGATCTACTAGTTTTAGGCTAAATCCAGTTGAAAACAAGTTAAAATACAGTAAAAACGAGCTAAAAAGTAGTTGGCCGCCAGTGTTAGGGTTTGACAGAAGATTGGTTGTGTGGAGAATATGACTCATAAATTACGATTTTACCCTTTATTGAATAACTTTACCACTACTATAAATAAGTCTACTACATATTTATAAANCTACCACTACTACAAATAAGTCTACATATTATAAATCTACCACTACCACGACTATAAATAAGTCTACCACATATTATAAATCTACCACTACTATAAATATATCTACCAACTAAAGGTTGTTTAGTAAAGAAGTGAAAAGATTGAATAAATATACCACTACAATAAATCAATCTACCACATATTATAACTCTACCACTAGTATAAATAAGTCTACGATTGCACGAACCATCAATAAGTCTACCGATCACAAAATAACTCTACCACAACTACTAATAAGTCTATCACTCAAAAATAAATCTACCACTACTGTAAATAAGTCTACGATTGCGCGAACCATCAGTAAGTCTACCGATCACAAAATTAACTCTACCACCACTATAAATAAGTCTACCGATCACAAAATTAACTCTACCACTACTGCTAATAAGTCCATCACTCCAAAATAAATCTACCACTACTATAAATAAGTATACGATTGTGCGAACCATCAATAAATCTACCGGTCACAAAATTAACTCTACCACTACTAGAAATAAGTCTACCATTATAAATTTTGATATAAAAAGCAAGAAAATATCATGATACATTTTGCTCTGTGCATTACTATTTATGTTGATTTTTTTTTTTTAGATTTGTGAGTTTAATAGATGGTGTTTTTTAAACCCAACGCCATAATGATGTTTTCTACCTATCGCTCACACATCGAACAAAAACTTACGGTAAATCAGAAATAACATGGAAAAAACTATGATGTAGTTCTCCTTTTTCATAAGTTTTATGTTTTCTTGCCGAATTGAATCGTACATGAAAGTACGTAATTAAGTCGTTTAGGAAAAAAAAAAAGTAATTAAGTTGTACATTTATAATCACAAACTTCAGTTTTTGTAATAATATACATAGACACAATGTTCATCTTTCTATCTAATGTAAATGACAAAAGAACAGGCACAATATTTCATCAATCAATTAAAGTACAGAAAAAATAACCAGCAGCGTAGCACGAATATATATCCACATAGTTATACACAACAATAACAAAGCCATTAAAAATTTACACAATCACACTCTGTCACTGAATGTAAGAAAAAAACAAAATATAACAGAAAAGCAAAAAGACTTTCAAACTTCAAACAGTAGAATCATTAACTGGAAGAGGAGGCAATTCTGTCTCCGGCGACTGAGTATTTTCAAGAACCTTTTTGCCAGATTTAATCTCGCCGTAAAAGTAAGAGACAAATCCCCATAGAGATAGAAGCAGAGCCACACCTTTATCTGCCTTAAACTTCTCCCGGAAACAAGCCACGGCCAACACTTCCGTCACCGGAAGAAGAACACTGACGAGAACACCAGAAGCTAGAGAAGATGCACAAAACACAATACCAATAGCTCCTACTAAAAATCCTTGCCAGATTATTCCTATGATCACAATAAGTGTATAGTAAAACATAGAACCTCCAATCTTGAACTCTCTTGCTTCTGTTGCTATCACCTGCCAATTTATCCAAAAGAAAATGATAAATGTTTTGTAATTTAGTTAATGGTAACAGAAAAAATTAAAAGATTTGATGGATATTGATTTGGCAAATTTTTTGTTAGTTTTCAATTTTTCTGTTATTCAATCAATGATTTGAAATACCAATTGAAATCATGTCTAATGATTAATTTTGATACAAGATAAGGTATCTTATATAATATTTTAAGGTTTTTCTAAACCCAAGTCATGAGAGGATGCCACGTGTCAC